CATTATAGGCAACAAAAAAAAAAAAAAAAAAAGTTCTTGGCGTTTAAAACATTAGCAAGATCTTGTTACTTTGATGGCTTCTTGCATGAAGAGCATAGCTATAAGAAGTCCAAACAACTCTCCAGCAACTCTGGTGAATCTGTTGATTATTGAACAAGCTCCACATATAGCCAGCACAAACAGAATCAAAGAAGTCCAAACACAAACCCTGCACATATTTAACTAGCTTAACACCTCTTTGATACTTTTAAAAGATTTAAAAATAAAACTAGAAAAGACCTTACCATCCAGACCAAGCCAAGAACAAGTTACGTCCCAGTTCAGGTCTCCCTTTTGCAAAGTTGAACATGAAAGTGTACATGATCACAGTTGGTTCTGCAACTCCGAGTATAAGCAGAGGCTGGCCTCCGATAATAGAGTGAATGATTCCACAAATGGCTGTTGATGCCAGCGTCTGAACAGCCGTAAGAACTCCATCTGCAAACACACAAAATCTGGTTAATAAAGCTTTGTAAATCTTTTGATAACGTTGATAAAGCTCACAACTTTTGATTCATTACCAGTGCTTCGCTCCAGTTGTTCGCCGAATGAGATAACAGGAATCGCAGACGCGAAGAATATGTATGTGGTGGGAGCAAGAATCCTACAAGAAAATTTGATATTTATCAAGAATGATCATAAAAACAGAGAAGTTCGAATCATAAAAAAAACAGAGTTCTCTGTACTTAAGTTGGTTCATGAAAACAGAGAAGTTTTGGAAGAAGGATAAAGTGACAAGCTTTGAGTACCTGAAGCCAGCTTTGAATCCTCCAGTCCAGTCTTGTTTGTAGCACCTTAGCCTTCCTTTAAGATCATTCTTGATACCTTCAAATGGAACGAAAGTCTCTTCCATGGTGGGGCTGCCCTCTGTGAACTTACTCTGTTTCTAAGTTCCTCTGTTTTTTTGCTAAACAATCTTGAGAACAAGTAGAAGATGAGATTAAACCCAATTATTATGGGAATAAAGACGAATAGTAAAGCTACTTGAAATCGAACAAACCCATGTTACAGAACTTTCTCAATACAAGTTTAGGGGAGAGAAGATAGAAATGAACAAAGACAAAGAAGAGGAGAACAGAGTATTAAGGAGCTTGTAACAATACTAAATTTCGTTGAAGAAGAAGAAGATTGGGAATGATTCATGGAACTTAGTTTACATGATAAATTGTTGTTTTGGGGAAGTAAAGGAGAAGCAATAATGGTGAAAAAGGAGGAGTGTATTGTGTGGATAGCAAGAAAGTGGCAAAGTTGTTTCAGCTGAGCAAATTGCAATGTACGTCTTTGGTGGCAATGGAGAAAGCAAACGAAGCATAGTTATTTATACGTATCATAATGACGGACATTAAATTAAGGAGTTGATTTAGTTAAGAGTGATTAGCGAACCGCGTGAAGCTTCGACCGTCAAAATTTTTAAAAACACTTTTTTTTTTTGACATCAAATCTATTAGTGATCTGGACAATCAAACCGGAATAGAACAATCAATGTAACAAATGCGACTGGCTATACTTTTCTTTCAAGTTATAAACTAGATTTTGATCCGCGCAACCGCGCGAGTGTTTGTTTTCGTTTATAGTTAGTTATATAAAAAAATTGTTTTCATTTGTAAATTGGTATATATTATAGTAATCACATATTTACGATATGTATAGTAAATGTTTTTCAAACATAATAATATTATATAATACGTGTTTTAATCAAATAGATTGTTTCAAATTTTCTATGATTTTTGTTTGGTTATATAAATATTCCATATTACGAATCTATGATTTTTGTTAATACATTGTGGATGTATTTAACTATTATTGACATATTTCCTTATAAATAATAGAAGATTCCTAAACTTATATCTATGACATATTTTACGTGACTAAGTTGGGAGGTGTGGGGTAATTTACCAAAACCAAATTGTTAAGCGTATCTTTGTTATCATAGATATGATTTTTCATAAGATATAATAATGATAAGATTATTAGAAAGTTAATGTAACATGACTTTCTAGTAATAGTCCATTTTAAAAAAAATCACACATGAAATCAAGTCATGACTTCTGTTTTAATATATATAAGAAGTTATATATTTTGTATAATTGTATTACCAATGTGACTGACTATACTTTTGAACTTTCATAATGTTAATTAGTATTGATCACACGAACATAATCATATGATGTTTTTTTGTTAAAAGCATAATACTTACAAATTTACTTTCTTTATTAAATATTACCAAATAGATAAATTTAAAATTCAAAATTTTAAATTATCGGTGATTTAATAGTTACCATTAATTCAATAAAATTACAATTACCTTTAAAAACTAAATAGTTTCAATACAATTACACTTAATTTAAAAATATCGAAACATCTTACAGTAGAACTTGAAATAATTTATTTTGAAACGGAAAAAATGTCAATTAAATTATCAAATTTTAAATTTGGTTGAAATAAACCACCAACAAACCAGAAAAACATTCAACTTTTGTTGACAAGCAATTTAATCATAATTTTTGCTTAACCGTACTTTTTAGTCATATCGTTACTCAACAATTATAATTGACTAACGATAAATTTAAAATTACTTTAAAGTTGATGAAATTTTTAGCAAAAATATAAATCAATGTTTTTGTAAAAATGGATGTTAAGTTTTAGAATAAATAATTTAGAAACTAAAAGATTTTATAAATAGGAATATTGAATAAACAAAAGTATGATTTTCATTCTTTTTTTTAAATCAATTTTTCTAATTGTAATTTATATTCAAAAATTGTTAGTTAATATATCATTACTTAAATAATTATCAAAAAAAATATAATTATTTCCGACAGTTATGTAACTTTTGTAACTATTTATATTGTCTTAGTTGGACTATGTTTCACAATTTTATTTTCAAAATTTTGTTTTTTTGTAAGATGTTAATACATTTTCTTTTACTAGTGGAGGGATTTTCTCATAATTCCGTTGATGTAACAACGTTTTGGATCTTATTTTAAGTGCCGAAATGCAGAATAATCTTGTAACACATTTATAGAAATAATATAAAATATTTTTTTTGAATAATTTTATTACTAACATAAATATTCATGAAGAATACATCTACTAGTAACTCTTTTGTTTTGGAAATCAAAAGTTGAATAAACATTTCACTAACAAAGATTTGACAATAAAATTATACAAATAATTCAAGTAGGAGATTATAAATAATTACAAAAAAGAGATCGTAAAATAATTATAAAAATTCTTCATAATAATTTTATAACTAAATATTTTAGAATATAAATTAAATTTATATAAATTTTACTTTGAAAATTTGAAAAAAAAAATCATGTTTTTGATTTTGAATTAATTATTATTTATAATTTCAATATTAATGTTATAGCTGTTTGATAAGGAGTTTTTAAGTCCTTACGCAAATCAAAGTAGTATTTTAGATGTCAATCCAAGTTCTAAGCGTTTTGAAACAAATATATTACAAGCTATGCTTAATCTAAATGAAATCAGTTTAGAGTATATGAAATGATTTAAGAACAATACAAAATGCAACAAATAACAAGCTTTCTCTCAATTAGTGAAGGTAAGACTCATGGGAGTAGGTATATGGCTTAGGTGATCAAGATTCAATCCTAAGTAGCAAGCTTTCAATCAAGATGTGTTCCTTAAGTCTAAACAACTTAGCTAAGCAAATTCTAGGTCTAGACAAGTGCCCATTTGCTTTCATTAAACAAACACAAATGGTCATGGCTTAATCAATTCAAACAATCATTAAGAACAAGTTTAATAACTATTTAAAACTCCCTAGATATAAATGATCATTGGCTAGGTGGTTTTAAAGCTAGGAGAGTCGGTTCAGACATTTAAACAAACACCTTATGAGTGCTAAATGGCTAATGATCATGATTAAAGAGGCCAACAATAATCAAGCATTAAAATCACTCAACTAACAAGAAAACACATAGATCTAACAACTAACACCTGAGATCTACAATTGATCACCCTTACCAATCTATCCCATGAATCTAAAATGGATCTACTCACTAATCCACATGATTAACTCAACAACAATGGTTGATTATTGGTTAAACATGATTAGAGATCAAGATTACTCAACAAACTTAAGAGAATAAGATGAAAAGAAGATAAAGTTATGATCTTTCACCAAATTGTACTTAGTTTCAGAGAGAAATACAAGATCAGATGACCTTTATGGTCTAAAAATGTATTTATACTAATGCTAAAATTCGTCCTAGGTCAACCCAACAACTCTGGACTGGCCCAATTATAGATAGGTAAAGTCTACTTCGGAAACGAGCCGCGCCCTGCTCTCTGCCGCGGCCGAAGCTCGCGGTCTCGCCCAATCATGTCGCACCCGTTCAGAACCGCGGCCATCACTCTCGAGTTAAACAACTCCTGACCGCGACTTGCTCCCAGCCGCGGTGATGGCCCACAGTAGGTCATCTGAAGCTTGCGCCCTTCACTTCCCGCGGTGGAAACCCGCGGGATCCTCTGGTCACTTCTGTCGTCAAGGATCAGCTGTGGAACTGTGGTTAACGTCCAGCCGTGGTGGTTGCCCGTGGGATTCCTGGTTTTTGCACCATTTCATTCCCCTGTGAATGTTTTGAAGCTTGTTTGGTCTCCAAGTGTCATTAGCACTTTTCTAAACTTGAAAACACACAAATGCAATGCAATGCAACCTTAACAAACTCTAAATGCATTAAAATGATCAATATGTGCATCAAATGAATGATTAAAACTATAAAATCCATAAGATATCACTGTTAAAAATACATTTTTAAATATTTAAAGTCAAATATTTTAGAAAAGGTGTTGATTTCTATTTGTGCTAAAAATCATGAGAATATTTTTTTTTAGGCCAAAAAAATGGTAACTAAGTCTCATTAAGCTAATTTCTATTTTGTAACATTTTTGTCTCTAATGTCCTTTAGTACGTTTAAAAATAAATTAAATAAATAGTTTTACAAACAAAAACAAAATGGCAAATGGTAACTACTGATGAAATACCTATATTAATTTAGTAGTATTTTTTTCAATTTCTAAAAATGTCTAATCATAATTTCAGATTATGTTCTGCATAAAATAGAATTGACATTCTACAAAGTAAAAAATGAAATCCACTTTTTCATTGAATCTACTATGTTCAGAACACATATTTTACGTATATAATACTAATCCAAAATTAGTTGGAATACATATTCCGCACTTAACTTATCCCTATAAAATCAATAGAAATCGGAATCTATACATTACTTATAAATCTAAAATCAGTAGAAATCACAATATACACAGTATTATAAATCTAATACCTGTAGAAGTTGATTTCAAACATTATTATTGTATTATACATATAGTAGAAAACATATTCTACATATATGGCAACCAGTTCCGAAAATATGGAAAAATATATTTGGAAATATTCAGTTTTCATATATTAAAAATCGATCTTTCAGAAAAGGGTTAAAAATAAATAAATAAAAACATACATATTTTAATTACTTTAAGTATTATTATTATTATTGACAACACTTTTTTGAAAACACTTTAATTTTTAATTTTTTCTTTTATTTTAATTAATTTAATTATTATTATTATTATTTTACAACACTTTAATTATTTATTATATTTGAATATTTAGCTATTGTATAGTTAATTGTAATTTTGTATTTTTAATTGAAGTTAAGGGCATTATTGCCATTTATAAAATATTTTACCTAATGGGATATAAAATATATGAGATTAGCCTAATGAGACATAGTTACCATTTTCTTGGTCTAACAAACACTTTTTCCAAAAATCATCAACTTTTTCATTTTAGGCCTACTATATATCAGTTAAATATAACAT